GTATCCCGTAAGAAGATAACAGTTGTAAGCAAACTTTCAAATAATTAGTAAAAAATATCAAACTTCTACTTATGTGTGACAAGTTCAAGACCAAATACCTATGCTTTGAGCGTTTGTTTTTACAAGACAGTGTAAGAGAATAGTTCTTACGGCATTTCACGTGATGTTAATATGATTCGGTATGGAATGCTTTAATTTTTTGGATTTAATTTATTTGTCATTTGATTTTTTTTTTCAACATCTTTAGTCGAAGTGTGCTTATTTATGTGATTCTTTATGTCGTTAATGTTATTATGCTATAAGAGACGGATGCTTGTTTTGTGCTAATTTTGATCGATCTTATTTTTCCTAAAATTTACGAAATTTCCAATGGACAGTGAGTTGATCATCTATAACTTGACTGGATTGATTTCACTGAGTTTCTTCTCTTTCAGTACAAAATAAAAGATTTTGAAAAATGTCAATGATGGAGCGATTATCTCTTTTATCATTGTATTGTTCATATATTGCATTTTCTAAGGGACTTTACAAAGATTGGTAGAAATATGTGCTAGTAAAAGGAATAATCTATTCCCAGACCTATTAACTATTCTATATAGCTCATACAGCAAAAGAAAATTCCTTTTACTTTTTTTTATTTTTTCTTCATCTGAAAAAAAATATGGGGTTGATACAAAGGGATACACGGAGTCACATAGGCTAAATGTTTTTTTCTGCACTTGTTTTCGACCTTCTTCAATTTTATAATTGAAAAAAATTCACACCTTACTATATTTTATCCTTTTTTATTATATTCATACATAACTTCAATTATCTGTTTGGTTTTTTTCAATTATAAAATCGCACTTTTTCAAATTTTTAATTTGGCTGTAAAACTGAGTTATTTTTTTAGTTGCAAGATAAGAAACCATCTCATAAATATGGATTGCAAGGAACACATCACCTGCTGCCGGGTACCGGAAAAGTCAGTTCAATATTGCCAACTCGAACAGTTCTTAAGAAAGATAAGATTTATGCTTGGTGCTCGTGCGGCTACAGTGGAACTCAGGTAGTATTAGATAATCATCTTGATATTTAATGTTCTTTTAATTTAAGTCATCGTTTTGATTAAATATGATAAAGGATACTAAAGTTTAAAGTTTGCTGGAAGAGATATATATGTAATTGACGTGAACTTATGAAGAGTAAGTATCGAAAGACACAGAATTTGATTTGAGTTTTTATGTACTGCAAACATTTAAAGGATAAATCCAGTTATAGTGGTATACTTTTAAAAAGTTGAATTTCTCAATATCATTGGTTCTTTTTTTGACGTTATCTTTCTTTTCTCATCTATTTTAGCCGCTGTGTGATGGAAGTCATCTTCGTTACTACATTCCAACAAAACTACGACCTGTGCGATTCATTCCTGATAAAGATATGGAGGTTAATTTCAGTATTTCATAAATGTCTATTTTTCCGATGGAAATTTACTATAGCAATAGTTCCAAAGATTTAACAGTAATGAAAGTTACTGGAAAGATCCTGTAAGATTTTCAGGTGTGGTTCTGTAACTGTAAACAAACGAAAACACGCCCATTTTGTGACGGTTCACATCGTGAAGTTAGTGAAAAGCTCAGAAAAGCTTCTGAAGAAGAGGAGAAAAAATAGCAGTGCCTGCATATGCTATTTTATTTAATTGTTAATACAAAAAATAGATGGGCAAGCAGTGATTGATGAACCAGAATGTCTTCATTTCTTTCATGTTTCTTGATATGAATTTTTTACTAGTAACCGTGCAGTGACGTGGCTGTTTGGTTTTTTAATCTAAGTTACAGCAATAAGACAAACTTTCTTCATAATTTGTGATTTATGTGTATTCGTTGTTAATCCTTTATTGGATATGTTTTTTATCTTTTCTAAAATTATTAAATTTATGAAGTTTATGTGATATTACGTTTTTTTTTTTCTATATTATTCGACTTATGTTAACCACGCTGATGCTAATTGTTTTTGCATTATAATGAATTCGTCAGTGATTAGCAAAATATGTAAGCACAAAAAAGTGATATGAGTTAAATGATGGCTGATTTAATTTATATACTTGGATCAATAATGTGCCACCTATTAGTAAATTAAACCCTTTTAATTACTACGAAAACTTATTCTTTAATGCTTAATTTTAATTTTCACTGCATCTTTGAATATCTCTTGACTACCTTAAATTATTCAAAATGATGTAACTTGAAAACAAACATGTTGCGCCATTATTACTCTCTTTTTTTTGATGTTACCGTTTCTCGACATGGTCCTCCAAACGGTGGCTGAAAAATTGCTTGTGAAGGCAAAACTTCTGCATCATTTGTCAGAAAGAAATTTTAATAATTATTTACACAGAATTGAAAGCTCCGATTGGTTATGCTAATTCTATGGTGGTTACAGTTAAAATTTCAGTATTGTAAAGTGTTCGAGTAATTAGTAGTTCAAAAAAATCCACAATGAATTCATTGTTAATTATTAACTTTTTCAAACCAAGTAAGATAGTTGACGAATTAATAACAAAGCATGTGTTCCTACATTGAGTGAATTATATTACAAATTAGTGATATTCAGGAGTGGAAATCTGTTGTATCCAGCAATTCACTTTTCAAAAAAATTTTGAAAGAAGGTAGGAAGCTTAACAGTGTTTTATTTTAGAAAATATTGAATAGGTTGATACGTATCACTTGGTTAGTTGTAACAATTAAATTTACTTCAACTAATTTCAAATTACTCGTCCCAATCAATATTGTACAAAGAAAGATCGAAAATTTCTCTATAAATTCAACTTTTACCTTTTCATCTCACTTCAATATTCACTATAATTTAATCATTTCAAGCTTACCTGTATAACTGGTTGATCTAATGGCACTAGTACATACTGCGAAATTATAACTGCAAAAAGCCATGATGTTGTGAGAAACCATACAAGTGCAATTGGTGCGCTAAAATAATCCCAAAGATGAATCCTTTGATTTGTGTAATCCATTCACACTACTAAATTTATTTGTTATATCCACTCTTACAATGAAAATATACAATTTGATCAGGAATTTAAATTTAAATTAGAGATTTTAAATTATGCAACTTTTCTAAATTAAAATATACATGATAAGTATTCAAATTAATCAGAAGAAATAAACAAAAACCAACAGAAAAAGATCATTTTGCAAATGAATACATTCAATTATCTGTTTATTGATTTTAAAAAATCCAAAATTTCATTTTTTTTTTCTACATCACAGAAATAGTAAAGTTTTTCCCTCCTCTTAAAAACATTCTTTTTCATCATTATCTTATTATTCCTTTTTTTTTTTTGCTTCCTTAATTTTTCTATCTTATCTTTCCCACTATCATTGTTATTATTAAAAAGAAATAATGAAAATTGCTTTATGCTTTATTTCCTGATGACGAATTTTAAGTTCTTCAAACCATTCATATTTTTTTTTTCCAAAACATTTATGTATTCTTAGATGTTTTTCATAATTTCAAGGATTTTTTTAGTTCCAAGAATTTCTCATTTTCTTTCTCACTCATCAAATTACTTTACTTTGTCATTCATCAACTGTTTTCAAGGCATTCTTTTTTTGCTTCCATTGATTGATTTTATTAGCTCTCAAACACTTCTTTTGTTTTTTCTTTTTTTGAAACTAACTTTTCTATAACAAATACTGCAATTATAATACACTATGTATAGTTATTATTATTATTATTATTATTACTAATTAATTAATTAATTTATTTATTTATTTACTTATTAATATTGTTTCATATTTTTCGTTTTTTTCCGTTTTTCTTATTTATTGAAATATTTATCAGTTAGCTAACAAATAGCACTTTATCAACCTTGCACTGTCATTTCAATTTTATGTTAATGCTTACCAAGGATTTATTGTTAATTGCAATAATATTGATAAATTGATGTAAAATATTATCGTAAACATTATTGATACAAAAGCTAACATTATTAAAAAACAAACGCAAAACAAAATATATAACAAAAGAATGCAAATAACAAAAATAGAAATAGAAAACTAGTGAGTAATTGTTAATTATTAATTGGTTTTTCAAATAAAAAAATTTTTTCTTTGTTAAATTCTATCTTTCTCTAAAATATGCCGAATTATATTTTAATAAACATAAAATACAAGTAGAAATTAAATTCAAAAAATAAACAAAATAAAGCGATAATAATCTACTAATTTTAAATATTTATTACTTGTTCATTCACTCTATTTCATTTATTATATATTAATATTCATTAATTCAATCTGATAAATGTGAAAGTGGAAAATACCCAAATATCCGCCGTTTTTTCTGATCATCCAGCAAAAAAAAAAAAAAATGTTATGTAAAAAGTTCAGAACAAAAAATGAGTTAGAAGTGAAAAATAAATGTTTAATCTTTTGAAGTGAAACATATGAAATGAATCCTTCTAACTTTCTTTACTCTCTTTCTATTTTTCTTATTCTCTTTACATTAGTTAATGTTTCGAATATGACATTTTCCGCTTTTTTTGCTATCTGTTTTAATTCTTCGTATTTTTATACTTTTGAAGATTTACAATTAGTGAAGTGTGTTGAAGGTGGTGGTCTTCACGTTTTTATTTTTTTAGCAGTGAATGGATGAGTTAGTAAACACTGTTTGCTTTTTTAAATTTGATATGCTTATAAATTTGTTATGATATGAAATTTGAAGTCTTTATATAATCCTGCAATTATTTCATTTTTTTATTTCATTTATTTTTCTGTGAAATTTGAAAAATTACAACTTATTAATTTATTCAATGTTTTTTTTTTTCTATTAAACATTATTCAGTTTCTGATAAAAAATGATTCAAATTTTTATTTATTTTAAAAAAGAAAAAATAAAGAAACGATGAAATTAGAATTATTTCAGCAAAACTGTTTTAGTGTAAATCTCTATTAATAACATTATAAAAACAAAAAGGAAACATATCAATTTATCAAAAGAATTTGTGGATGTCGCTAACGAGAGTATGGATTGCATCATTACTCTTTTATTTATCAGTATTTGTTATTTGCGAATTACTACGTCATATGATCAATCGTTGGCTCAAACGAAATTTGCCACGTTTTGCTATCGGTTTACTTCTTGAAGTATTGATTGTTTGTGATCATTTATTCATTTTTATTTACTTTTTCAAAATAATTTGTAAATTATAACTTTGAATTTATCACAAATCTATTCAAAAAAATTTTCACTTTTAAATTTTAACTCTTAAATTTGAAGCTTTGAAATTTTAATTTATATAGAAGCTATTAATTGCATTTCAGTTCGTTGGTACTTTACAAGTTTGTACGCCCATGTTTGATGTTAATTTAATCTTGCAAACTTATGGTTTATTTGGGATTTTTATCGAAATAACGGCAATCGAAATTGCTAACGGTTTTTTTCTCCGAGATGCTATCGCTCATCCATGCCCATTGGTATTTCATCCAAAAAATCTTTTAACATTCATTATCAATTCTCCTATCTTTTAATTAAATCACTAATTATTGTTTGCTTTCAACTAGTTAAATTATTTTTTTATTAATTATTATCATTTCTTTGCCTTTTAAGCATTATTGCCAATTCTAACACTTAATTCGAAGATTAATGCATAAAATTTAAATTACTCCTTTGCATACATATATTAACATTACTAAGCCTATTTTGAATGATTTGTGAAGATTTTTTAAATTGTATGGAATATAAAGTAGTAGGTTTTTGTTGTAGATAACAACAGCCTCACGTAAACGTTTGGCATTACGTACGGCATTTTTGGTTTTTGCTGTACAACTTGTTGCAGCATATCTATCATATTTCTTTGCTCGGACATTCTGGAAACTTGGCCTTCATCCTTTGCATAATGAATTATTGATTGCAGATCATTGTGAAGCTGATCTTACAGCAAGTTATCAAGCAAATAATTGTCCAGTAAACTGAAAATTTAGTGATAACTTATGTAGTAGTAATTTCAATTTAATAATTTAACAATTTTTAATAATTTAGATTAACAGTAATTTACTTGTTAAAATGATGCTAAATTGAAGACTATAGTTATAATTTAGCTAATCATATCATTATTTAATAACTGATAAAAAAGAATGAAATTAAACGATGCAAAGGAATTGAAAGGCTGCTATATATTTAAAATTAGCAGCAATGTTACTACCAAAACTTTCACTTATCGAAATAGAAAAGGAAAACGGATTAGTGGATTTTTCATGACAGAATAATTCAGGTAGCCTTGACAGCTGGTTCACTCATCGAAGGTTTAGCCACTTTTAGCAGCAAAGCAGTCGAATTCGTTGCAAACGAATGGTACGCTGACTCGAGAACGCAAATGCTCATCAATTGCATGTTTGCCGGTTTCTTAACAACAGTTGGTATGTATATATGTAAAATTGATTACACTTGTCCGGATCATTCTGTACTGGAAGAAAACAAAAGCAAAATTCGGAGAGAGCTACGGAAAGACAGCAATTTTTGCTAGAAGAATGTTCTGGATGCTAGTTATCAGTTAACGTATTGCTTAACTCGTAGATTATTATTATAAACTCTTAGCATTCTAATTAAATTTTTAACAAAAAAAAAAAGATGACTCGTATAACTTTTAAAGAAAGAAATCCCTTTCGAAATTGAATAAAAGAGAAGAATATAAATATCATTTCATTTTTAGGTATAAATTATACGGGCATGTATGCTAATCCAATTGTTGCATGGGCATGTACATTTAATTGCACAGGTGTCACTCACCTTGGTCATCTTGTAGTATACTGGTTATCACCATTGATTGGATGGTTTTTAGCTGATGCTGTATTTGGTGAGCAAGAATGTATTGTCGAATGTTTCACTGAAGAAAGAGAAGAAAGTAATTTGATGAAACTGAAAAATTCTTAATGAAAAAGAAAAAAAAATTTGACAAAGAAAAGAACCAGAACTATTTTTTATAAAACAATTATAATTTAAGTGGGATGTTAATTGTATAGAAATTGAGGCACTATTATTATGACATATGTCATACTTATGCTGTGCTATTGTACAATTATCAAATATTTTTACCTATCGCTTCAACAAAATTCAAAACAAAAATATATTAATTAGGAAGGAAACAATGGTAGAATGATAGGATTTTAGGCTTAAATCTTAATATCAGGTTAAACGTAGGTACCACAATCCAGGATATATCGTAATTTTAGAGCTTATCCTTTTGCTTTTGTTCCATTTGATTTGTTTTCTGATAAAAGCTGAATGCAACAATAATTCCTAACAATTAGTGAAATAAATCATTAAACAATAACCAAGGAAATGCATAAACTATACGAGAAAGACAGATAAAGTGGAGAAAAAAGAGAAGAAGAAAAATTTAAATAGTTCTGTGGAAAGTTTTTAAATTTGTATGAAATTCACCCTAAGTAAATCAACATTTTCTGCTTTGAAAATTTGTAAAACATTTTCGAATTATCTAAATAAATTTTAATTGAAATAGTTCACCAAAGAAGTTCCATTTCAAACCTTAAAATTTTATTATCTTAATAGAGAATGAAGCAATGAATAACGGTAATAATTAAGAAATTTCAGCTTGAAATATGATGAAAGTCTACGAGAAAGACAGATAAAGTGGAGAAAAAAGAAGAGAATTTAAAAAAAAAAAAAAATTTCTAAAATTTCTACTCAGAAAATGAAAGATATCGATAAAATTAAGATGTATAAGTTAATATACATACGAATATACTATAAATTTTGACATCATCTCTGTAATTTAAAGATAAAATTAACAAAAAGCGTCTAAATGGCAATAGAAATTCAAATTTTAATTTAGTCAAAATCATATATATGTTTACGAATTCACAACGTTTGATAATAATATTGATTAAAAATGACTTATACCTTACAGACAGAATTATTTTTATAGTTACAACATTATATTTATAAAAAATCTGAAATCAAAATGTAAATCAGGTAATAAAACAAAAATTCAGTAACATTTTTAATTATTGCTAAATCCATTTTCTCATCATGAATAATTTTTTTTTAAAAAAAAACTTTTTTTTAATTTTTAATTTGAAAAACTATAATTTTGTAATTTATTCATTAATTTAAGTATTATATCTAGCATCAATTTAACGTCGGGATGGTAATGAAACTTCAAAATTAAAATTTGTCAATATTATTAGATCACTGTGATTTCATTCTTCTAACAGGTTTATCTTTTTTGATAATAACATCATTTTAAAAATGATTTATATCTTATAGGTAACAACCTTATAGTAATTACAGCAATATGTTTGTAAAAAATTTAATCAGGTGATGACATGAAAATTCACTTACAATTTCAGTTCTGTTTGCTTCCGTAATTTAAATCTGGTATTATTATCAAATAATTCATGTCTTAGGAATTATTTGAATAAATAAAACAATGACCTCAAGTCATTAAAAAGAGAGCAGTCTCTATCTGTATTAAAATTAAATCTCTGATAAGCTGTAAAATCAATAAGTACTTCTCTTACTTAGTAACATATGAAATATATATATATATATATATATTATGATTTGAATGATTTTTAAATGGTATCAAATAAAGTTCATTTTTTATTTCATTATCAAAGTCTTCCAAATTTTTTAACGAGTTACAGTTTGAAGCTTTTTAGTGTTAATATTTTAATAAGGTTTATTGCTTAAACTGCAACGATGGTATTAGGTGCAATTTTGAAGTCTTAATTTTTCTATCAGCAGAAAACTGAATTGAAAATTATTGAAGATTGTCAATGAATTATCACTTTATCATGTCATCCGCACTTTGAATTTCTTTTAAAATTCATTTTTGTAATTGCTGAAAAGATGCTATCACTAAAATTTATTTTTAATTGGTCAAACGTAGTTATTTTTTTCAGGAAAATAAAACCAGAGAATTTATTGAATCTACTGATTTCAAAATTTTCGATAAGAATTAGAATTAATGAAAATATTGCAATATTTTATGTAGCTAATGGGGGCTTTTAATTACGGAGAGATCCTCATCTTCTGATATTGGAGTAAGTTATTTCGCGTAGGAATGAATGTGAAAAGTGAATTAACGAAATAATAAATGAAAAAGAAATGTTTTCTGGTGAATGATTCTTTGGTGTTTATAAAGTTGTCAAAATGAGAGTGATTTATAATGTTTTCGGACACAAAGATAATTATGTGAAGAAAAAACTGTGTTAAAGAATACCTGATATGAATGACTAAAAGACCGAAAATATTTTTATGCACTGATTTTCGGTATTTTGATCATTATGGACAAAATTGGTAACAAATAGAAAAATGGGAATTTAATTAGATTCAAGATAAACAAAGAAGAGGCATGACAAATTGGTTAAATGAGGGATAAAAAATTAGTTAAATGATTCATCGTATTACAATTTAAACAATTAATTTTTACACGAAAATAATTCTATTACTATAATTTATATTCTCGATTGAAGGAATTATGTGAGCTTCGGGTGGGAGAATGTAGCGAAAAGTGTTTTATTTTTGTCCTTCCTTATTTATTAAATGTGTTTTTATTAATTCCAAGAGTAGATCACTGATTTCTCATTGATTTGAATTCTTACTATGAAGTAAGTGGAAAATAAATTGGATTCACTCAAATTTCATTTTAAAAGCAATCACTACAACTGATATTGCAAGAGTAATTAACCAGCGATATTTATTTGCCATTATTTGGTCAAATTTGCAAGTTTTATTAATCCAGTGGTTCAGTTGAATTCGTTTTCCAGCTATTCTGTCAGTACTTCTCCTCCTTTACTAATTTTCTGCCCAAAAGTTCACTTCTGAATTCATATTGGATTCAGTCCTTTCTAGTTGTAAACTAGTATTTCCATTTCTGCATTTCATGACTACAATGGCTACTTCTTATTGATGTGACATTTGGGTTAACATTTCAATCACAATTCAACCTTTCAGGAGTGTTAGTGATGTGCCAGATATCCATTTGCAGTTTTTCGTCGTTGTCACTTGTTTTGACATTAAGGAGATGTTCGTTTTCAATAATAAGACTTTTATTGGAGAATTTATTTACTCTTCGCTTCTGTTTGAAGTTTGCTATATTTTTTTTGAACTTTTGTTCAAGTTCATCGAGCTATGGACTCCTTTTGTTTATTGACTTCATTTATAGAATCCTTCAATGTTGCTAATTAGTTCTTCGTTTATTTCTGCTAAATTTTTAAAGGTATAACACATTTACAGGTCGATTTGACTCATAAGCATAGTATTACAAAGAGTCCTTTCCTTGGATATTAAATTTATAAATTTCAAAGTCCAGACAGTTATCCTTACTAACCTCGACTATTTGCTAAAGAACGTTTTGTTGATACTAAGATCTGCAACAATCTACTGGTCTTTCGCCTATCTTTGCTATGATATTCATTCAACTATATGATACATTCCCAAAATGGCCATTTTGGCCCTTTTGTCACTCCTCTTCTGTCATCTTTGTCCTTTTCACCATATTCACAATTCATGAGTTAAAGAGAAGAAAGTCCACACCTTTGACAGGAGCAATTTCATATTTAGCAATACCAAAACAGCTTCCTTATCTCCTTAACAAGGTATATCGTATCGACGAAACATATGCAACTGAGGAGGCATCCGAAAACACGTGAAATTCGATTGGTCGCGAAGAGTTGATTATAACAGTAGTTTGTTGCATAAATAATATCTTCCATGTCTTCTAATTTGCAATGCTTACTGATTACTGCCAGATTACTATCCTTTTCCAAAAGTTTCGAAAAAATAGTTGCCACGAATTACAAAATCGATCTTTTATTTGGTTCTTCTTGACAGATTTACTTCTATAATTTTCCAGATAATAGTTAGGAATAGCTAATAGTAAAAAGGTTGTTGACATTATTTCAAATAGACTCTTTGAAACCAGCAATTTTAATTATTATTTTCCTTTAGCATCCTCGAATATTTTTTAACCAAAGGAATAGAGTACAGTTTCTTTCTGTTGCGAGTAATTAAAACTGTACAAATATCTCTTCAACATCTGCTATTACGACTGTTTTGATATATTCCCAGTGTATTAGTGTTAATAAAATTTATAGTAATTTGACTAGAAAGGTGAAGTACATAAGATTTGCCTTATTTTTAATTGATTTTATTACTAAATAAAATTTTTAGAGAAAAATGAAGTCAACGTGATCCAATATCTTTAACGGATTTTAATTTGTTGCATCTCCACTTAAAATTTTTATTAGATTTATTGCTTAAACCACAGACGTGGTGTTAATTGCAAAATTGATGTCCTTTAAATTATCATCAGAAAGCGAATTGAATATTAATAGATGCTGCCAGTGAATCTTCATTTTAACCAATGTGTCGAAAAAAAAAAAAAAAAAACGATTTATAACTAATATGTTAAAATAAAATTGCATCCATGAGACTAAAGATTGTAATAATTGAATATCCTTTAGACAACTAAAAACTATTTCAAATTATATTTCATGTAAGTAATCATTTATCCAGTACATATCTTCCAGTTGACTTATTTGTATTGTTTAAAAATTTTCAATTGTTAACAAAGACTATGTTTATTGCTTAATATGCTGGAAATTACTCTGTTCGAAACGAAATCTGCTTGCAATGTCGAAAATATTGTAAAGATCTTCCCATCCAGTAGTCATCATCCTCAGAGCAATGTTACTATAAACATCGTTGATAGTTTCAGGCACAGTTCAACTGCTCTCTCAACTTATCTAATTCAATTCATTTAAAATTCAAAACATAGGAAATATCAATATATTGTTGCTTTAGATTAATACTTGTGTAATTCTAAACTGCAACCAACAAAGATTCCCCAATAAAGATAACTTTTCAATAAGTAGATCATCATTTTCATGTAACTTTCTTTTAAA